TTCTTTTGCAGTCTTGAACAAGAGGTAGGTTCGACTTATGTGACTCTCCATGGAGTTGATCAGCTTGGCCATGACAATAGAATTATTGAGTTCCCACGTAGCATATGTAGGATCAGTAAGGTGAGGACGTGGAATTTCTCCATTGATATATCCTAGTTTCCCACGACCTCGAATCACCATGAGTACCGATTAGGACCACTGTAAAAAAAAATTCTCATCTAATTGATGATTAGTGATTGTGAGGGACGAATTAACATCACTGTGAGATAGTGCTTGGTTAACATTCTGAGTTACTTGTGAAGTCTCAGAATCAGAAATATTTTCAGTGTTTGCCATGATAGAAAAAACAAGACACGGGAGAAAAATAAAGAAGTATAATGGATCAGAAATATCCCTACAGCTCTGATACCATGAACAGATTTGAGAAAAATTATTATGATATTTCTCTAACAGCAGATTACATCTTTTAAAGTAAAAATTAGTGCAAAAAATAGGAAAGAATCCCTAAAAATTAGGAACTACAATTAGAGACATATTTACACTAAGTTAACTCCTAAAAATAAAGAAGAAAATTCAATCCCTTAATTCTAAGATTTCCAACAATAACTATCTTTTAAAGATGAAAAGATAACAAATGAAAACTAAGATGCAGTTCCTAAAGTTCTAACTTCCAATCAGGCAACCTTGTGATAGACATGTGAAGGGGGTTATTTTCTTGAAACTTTATTAAAAGTAGCAATGACAATAAACGAGAACTAGAAACTTCAAAACTCCACTCTATATATGGATATCCTTACCAAGAAGTAAATTATCTCGGGCTCTAACTAATATTGGCCTTCCTAGATCTCCACTAGCATTCTTGTATAAATTTATTTCTCTGACAATTTGGTCCTGGGTGTTTGCATCAGGAACCAATCTCTCTATGCTATCAAACACCTACGATAGGATACCATTGTGCATATTTCCCTTAGTACTGTAGAAAAACTTGGGGTTCAGGAAGAAACCAGCAGCATAAAGAGGAAGATGCCGATGTTGTTCCCATCTATTATCTATAATATTCCAGTAGACCATATATTCATCTTTCTTGACAAGTTCTTTCTTAATTGTTTCTTTTGCTCTGTAAATTCCAGCATAAATGTATCCCATCGCGTCTCTCTTCTTGCTACCAACTATTTCTAGAACTCGCAAGAGTGGATGTGTTATTCGCGCAATCAAGATGCATGAATTCCAAAATGACCTATTTTTAACAATGTCCGACATCACTAGACCCCCTGGTTTCTTTGCATAAGAGCATTCCAGCCAATCCTGCGAGCTTACAATAGCCTGCAAATTTAGCTTAAGACCAGCCATTCTTTTCAGTGTTGCAAAGTTAGCAGCAAAACGAGTAAGTGCTGGTTCCACAATGTTGTTACCACCAGTGAATCTTCTCATCATATTCAGAACCACGCTACGGTTGTAGACGAATCTTGTCAGAGATCTAGCATGTTCAATTGTTTCATTTATCCAACCAAGGCTACCAAAATCCTGAAGCATCATATCCACACACTGTGTTAAGCAAGGAGCCCAATAAAGTGAAGGAAATGACTCCATCAACCTTTTCCCGGTCAAGAAATATTGCTCATCACAATTAGTGATTACTTGAACAACATTCTCACCCCTACTTCTTCAATCACCTGCTTAAGCAATTCAAACAAATAATCCGCGGAATACAAAGCATGGGATGCATCCATGGATTTTAAAAATACAGTTGCTTGAGGACAATAAACCAAAAAACTTAACAAAATTCTGTTGTTTTTCAAGCTCCATTGCTCAACTATAATAGAACACCCTGTCTTATGCCACATTGCTTTGTTTCTATTGATATCATCCTTTACTTCCTCAATTACATTCTTCAATATCCATCCCCGAAGGTCTTCATAGGAGGGTGGTACAGTCCCAGATCCCCCAGAAACAATAGCATCAATCATTGGTTGAAAACAAACCGAGTTCACGGAATCCAAGTCAACTCCAATGTCATACAGGAAACGCCCTATCGCCATATGAACTGGATTCTCGACCCTTATTGGAACCAATTCAATACCGTTTTTCGCACTAGAATCACTCTTTGGGGTCAAACTTTGATCCCTTTGACGTTTCCTACCTCTACTTCCCTTACTGACTTCCCCTATCCCATTCAATGCCAAATCAGAATCAGCTTCCAAAGTGTTTAAAACCGAAATCGGTAAGATGACCTCTCTCATAACATCACGGGAGGCATAATTTTCTTTCTCAGCAACGTGTGGACTACTACTATTACCGCAGGCTAATAATTTGGGAATTGCTTTTTGCTTATCTGGTTTTCCTAAAACCCCATTCAAGCTATCCTGCATAAGAGCTCGAACCTCTTGTGGAACTTGTTCACATATCGGACCCTGACCTTTCCGACCGGCTAAATGTTCCTTAAACCTATGAATCTCGCCCCCTTTAAACATTTTGCCGCAATACATACATTTAATTTGCAATCTTTCGCCATTTTTAAACACTTTACAATGGTTCCAAGCAGGAACTTGCTTTTGTCTGGTAATTGATATAGGCACCAAATTCAAATCCATTTAAGCAAACCCTTTTTTCAGCATTAGAAAGAACACATACCCTTTAATCAGAGCAGTAAATTTTGGCAAGAATTAGAGGAACTTACTGGGGGTTTTTTCTGGATTTGGTGGTTCATCTGATTATATGAACCAAGTGAACCGGTTGTGTTGACCCAAATTGGTTCAGGGTTTGACGTTGAGGTTTCAACGGAAGATTCAACAGAGTGTTGGTTTTGAAGAAGTTTTTGGATCAAGGAAATCGTAAATGTGTTGTGATTATAACTGGTTAGAGGTTAATGGCGATTGGTCGGAGTCAGACCGGCTAAATTGGTCTGGTTATCTCCCACGCCAACGAAGATACACTTTTCCCCTTGTTTAATCGGGGAAATAAGATTAAAATGAAAATTCCTTTTTTTCATTTTAATATTATTTAATTATATATTCAAAAATACTTAAATTTTACTGAATTAAAAAAATTATAATAATGTATCTATAGTATTTGAAAGTCTGCTTAAATTAGTTTGGGTTAACTACAAAGAAATTACTTATACTTATGTTTTGTCCACTTTTAGTCATTAATTTTATAAAACATAAGATAAAGTCACATTTATTTTTATTTAATTAAGATGCCCCGAGTTAACTGCCGTTAACAACAGTTAAATATTTTAATATAACCATATATTTGATCTCTGTTATTTACATATTATCTCAATTTAGTCCTACTTTTAATAAATTAAAATAAATTTAATCCCCAATCAAATGATACCACATGTCATGCCATGTAGGGGTGAGCGTTCGATCGAGCCGAGTTGAGTTGATTAAAAAAGTGTGAGTTATTCGAGTTGATGAGTCATATTTTACAACTCAAAGTTGACTTGAAATTTTTTAGAGTCGAGTCAAATTTTTTAGTTTATGTTTAAATGTAATTATAAATATTTATAATATTATGATATTATTTGATTCCAATTTAAATGATATTTTATAACCATATACAATACATGTGTATTTCTTTATATTTTTTCATATGTGATATACATTATGATATAGAATCAAGGGACTCGACTCAAACTTGAAAATCAATCCATTGATTACTAAAATTTTTAAGTTATTCGAGTTGTATTTTACAACTCGGTTTGAACTTGAAATTTTTTCGAGTCGAATCGAGTTTATGAAATTACAACTTGAAGTTAATTCGAGTCAAGTTTTCAAGAGTCAAGTCGAAAAAATTAATTCTTCGAATCGAATCGAATCGAATTTTTTCACCCCTAATGTCACGTGTCACTATTCGATTAGAGGATTAACTTTATTTAATAAATTTATTTTCATCAATCAAAGAGTGACATGAGTCACCCTTTGGTTGAAAGAAAGCAAAGGAAGACAAATTAGGAGAATATTTTATTTAAAAGTATTTAATTTTTATTTTCATTTAAAAATATATATTTTATGTTAAAATTTATTTAAAAGTATGACAAAGTTGAGAGAATAATTAAATATCATGGATCAAATGTTTGATTATACTAACTATCACGCCACATATCCTGTTAATTGTTAACCGCAATTAACCGTGATGATCACATATTAATTAAATAAAAACGAAAGTGATCATATCTTATGTTTTTTGAAATCAGTTACCAAAAGTAGAAAAAACATAAACGTAAGTGATTTTTCATGTAGTTAACCCAAATCAATTTTATGGGTTCATCGAGCACTAACTAATTATAAAAAAAATTAAATTAATTTCATCCATTCACTAGGTACTAATTAATTGGTCAAAATATTTAGTACAAAAGGTTCTGAATGTGATGCAGTCCTAAATGAACATCCAACCATGCTGTTCCAGATTTCATTTCCCCATCTTCTTCTACATAAGTATCTTTTACAACACTTGTATGAATAGTGATCCATTAGGACAATGACAAGGAAGTATTACCGCAACTTCATTACAGGTACAAGGCAAATAGTACCTTCACTATCTGAGTGTAACCACTGACGTAGTATAATAAGTTTCCCATATTTCTTTAACCAAAACAACAACCACCGGCTTATTAGATACTCCAATAATGTATCCACATCTGTTGATGATGTATCAACCTTCTTCAACCCCCAATCACATTCCTCATGGTAAAAGAAATCGTAATGAGATTTTTATCACTTGTATCCATTTCAATTGCAGCACGCCTACGATCCAAGAATGCAGCTCACTTACCCATGATAAAACAAAAAACAGATAAACATTGAAATAATTATAACATTACAATTACTTATTTCTCACTTTCTGAAGATCCGTAAACCAAAAAACCCCCATGAATTTCTAACAGAAATGAGAAACATGTACCGTCATATTAAAAACAATAATAACCCAGAAATACCTCATCCAAACAGATTCGAATCCTTCCATGAAGTCCAAAAATTTTAAGGCACTACAAAAAGCTCAAAACCTAAGCTTGGTAAAGAACCACCTGTTCTTTCCAGTCTTGAACCTCTCTTGAAACCGCGCCTTCGTGGCCTTACATGCGGCCACCTTCTTGTCCTTGGTCTGAAGCGCATCGCCGGTAACCACGTCTTTCAAGTCCACGTCCTGGGTGTAGCGCGTGGGCATCAGGTGCTGATAATTTACGATCTTCACGAAGCACTTCAAGCGCGACTTCTTCTCTGTTTTCTTGGCGGAGTCCTTGCGGATGACCTTGCTCGGGTACTTCTTTATCCCAGCAACCAAACAGTGCCCATGGGGGCGGTCACGTGTGCCATCGTCGAAGGATTTCACGATCACGGCTTTGCAACCGGCTTATCGACTTTGAGTCATAACGTCTTTCTCGGGGATCCGCTAGACTTAAAAAATTAATTCGATAAAAGACGATGAAATTCAATTTTGAAAATAATTTGATTTTGGAGTCGCCACCGACCTTTAAGTTAGGTATATCAAAAACCTTAAAAGAAGAAAAAGAGTTTCATTTTACCAAAAATTCATTTTTTTAAGAATCCGAAAATCGATTACGTATGGAAAAGTATGAACACCCCACAACGCTCAAACTTTGGTACCTAAACGATTATACAGTGTTTAAATATTAGGAATTACAAAAAAAATATTTAGATTACGATCCTTATATTCAGTTGACTTTATTCACAAAGTATTAATTTTTGGATAACAAATGCTCTTTTGTGTGAACAATCTTCGAGAAAATACTTCCTTTACAGTTATGAGACTTTCCTATAGATTCCCCTCACAAAATGATGTTTCTTTAATTTTATAGATGATATAATTTAAAAAATTATAATATTATATTAGATTATAGAAATGTTCGAATAAAGAATTCCCTTTTGTATGAACAATCTTCGGGAAAACACTTCCTTTACAGTTATGAGACTTTCTCATAAATTCCCCTCACAAAATGATGTTATTTCACATTTATTTACAAAATAAAATAAAATAAAATAAAATAATACAAAATAAAAAAATAGAATGAAATACAAAATATGGAAACATGTAATGATTAAAGACATATATCTAAACGTATACATATACATATAACATCAAAACAATGTATATCCAAGGAGCCTAAGAACATGCAACACATAAAGATGTAGTAAAGATGAAAAAAATACAAATATCAAAACACCCTGTTGAGGTTAAGATAAAACTGAAGAATTACAAATACTAGATAGAGAATCTAATATTAAATATTATATATATATATATATATATAAATAATGAAAATAAACACAAAACATATCATACAACTATTTCAAGTATTAGAAAAAACTAAAAACGAAAAAGTGAGGATTAAATGGGCAATAACTTCCAAACATTAAGTCCTAATATAATAACTACATTTGAAACCTAAAACATAAAATACATAATAATCTTTTAGGCAGAAAAAAATGGCTAGAATAAAATAAATAACAAATCAGGAGTAATAAAATAATTATACCAAAAGACATTAATGAACAAATAATGATCAAAATGCAATGTAAACAAATATGGAGTCCAAAATAAAACTATACAAAATCAGCAACCAGAAATATAAACACTTGAGCAGATATAACACTTAATAGATAGGACTAAAATGTAATACGGAACACAAAAAGGCTCAAAATAAAAGGATGAAATTTCATTAATGGCTAAAAAGCAAGATTACAAAGGAACAAGGACTAAAATAAAATTATCCCTTTGACAGATCATAAACATGTGTGATATTTCAAAACATCAAGAACCATGGAAACAATTAACCCCAAACCCCAACACGTTGAATCTCTTTCCCTACAAACGAAGTCGTTTGATGGTTAACATATAATCCCTTTTTTAGGGTTTCATAACACCATATTCTTTCCTTCCTCAACCCCTTATCAACCGGTCTCTCCCCTTCCTCTCTATTTACTTGGTTCTTTAGCGCCGAGAGAATGAAAATAAACCATCTCCGGCCACCATAGATCGAGGTCACGGGAAGTAACGAAGCTTCCCAACACCCCTTTCTTCCTTCTCCTTCCCTTCGAACAACCCCAAACAAAACTAAACCTCCCCTCAAAACAGAAAACGGAATTCAAGCTCCCAAGGTAAAAGAGTTACCTTTTGATGACGGGGTATTATGGCTCCGATGAGGCAACAGTGGTGACAGATGAACCAAAGGTGAGAGCTTTCTCTGTTTTTCGTTCGTTTTTTTTCTGTTTTTTTTCTTCGATTTTTCTCTTTTTTTTCTGCCCTCTCCCCCATCTTCGAATGGTTCTTTATCTTTTGTTTTATGGTATGTTTGGCTGATGGCATCATGAAATCTATGGGGTAGGGTATGATTTTTTCTATGATTTTGGGTAAAATCCAGGATTTTCGGGACTTAGTGTAGTTTTTAATTTGGGGTTCTCATATTAACTTCACTGTGGCTAACGTTTTTGTTGCTTTGGTGGCTGTTTGATGTAGGTTGATGACGACGGCCAGCTCGGTGAAGCCCACGCGCCGATTGGAGGACGAAGAGTAGGGCGCGTGTGCCACACGCGCAGACGATGGACGGCTCAAATTCACTGGAGGCGACTGGATGGGAGCTAGTAGGGTGTGCATTATCGGATATTGGATATTATCCGATCTGAAAAAATTGAATATCTGAAATTTTGGATCGGATATCTAAATATATCCAAATCCGATTTTGACATTATATAATGGTCTAATAATATTTTAATAAATATAATATTATTTATGTATACTGGCAAATTCTTCCTTCTGATTTGAACTCTTGATCCCCTGTAGTTTTGCTTTCATGCTCATTTTTTGCATCATATAAATGTTAGAATACTGATGTATACGAGTATTGTATATTCACAGAAGCTCTTGTAAACATATACGGTGTAATGCAATGGGTATCGAATAATGTATTTTTGTGTTATGGCAGGTATGTCTCGAGCTTTACCATCTCAATCTTCGTTGTCTTCCTAAAGTACAAGCTTTACCAACGGCTAAGGTTCAAGTTGCCATCAGGTCCACGAGCGTGGTTGGTGGTTGGGAACCTTTACGACGTAAAACTGGTTAGGCTCCAGGGTTATGCAGAATAGACACGGACCTATGGTTCGATAATTTCCATGTGGTTTGCGTCGATATTGAACGTGTTCGTTTCAAATACGAAACTAGTGCAAGATCAATAGTTGGCTGATCACATGACCAGGTTGACAACAAAGTTTAGCAGAAATGAACTTTGGCACTCTTGGGTTTGAAAGAATCCATATAGCCCAAACAACTCTAGATTTGAAACCTACTATTATAAAATCCATATAGCAGAAATTGAATTTTTATCGATCCGTATCCGATCTGAAAATCTGAAAAAAAATTCGGATACCCGATCCGAACTATCCGAAAATTGAAAAACATATTCGATATCTAAATTTTCGGATCGGATCAACAGATCAGATCGATCAGATTGGATTTTTTTGTACATTCCTAGAAGTTAGGGTTTTGAAACCCCAGGTCGAGTCGGCTGTTTGGGCCAGGACTTGTCCAATCTTGGTTGTAAATGGGGTCTAGGTTTGGTTGTTGGGCAGTTGTAATGTATTGGGCTGCTTGGGTTTTATTTGGGCATGCAAATTTGTAAAATAAAATAATTAATAATAAAATAGTTAAAATAATAATAATATTAATAATAAATTAATAAAACGAGAACCCGGATAAAAACGGATATCTATGACTATAACTGCCTTGTTGGGTTTAAGAAACTTAACCAAGGCGACTTCGGGTGCAGCTGCTCTGAATCTGATTGGCGAAATTGATTCAATGGAAAATGAGTGGATATATAATCGCATCGAGCGACGGGAACCCTAAAGCCTTTGGAAAATGGATGGATATTAGTGGGCTCTTTTCATGTATATATTTGGGTCTTAATTGAGTAGACCTACATTGTTGAGATTTTGGACCATTACCAACGTTTCAAATTTGTATCTTTGGTAAAAAAAAATTAAATGGAAAGGATCGGCGAAAAAAAAAACTACATTAACTTCGATGCCGCAAATAAGGCGGCCCATGGATATTTTGTGAAGAATACGATTAAGACCCGCTGGAATCGAGTTGTAAATTACTAGGGATCCATCTTCCATACGAGAGTTCTTGGCTCTGTAGTCTGTTGCTTCATTGGATTCTCGTGCGATCCGTTTAAATTCCATGTACCACGCATTTTGATCAAGCTCAGCCATGGTTCTTACTTGAGATGATGGAGTATTCAAGGACGGGGAGAGAGGACATTGATGATGTCACGACTGTATAACAACACGCTCGAACCCATATTGCTCTACTAAGATAATACATTTGCATGATTTAAAATGACGATGGTATCAACTAAGCGATTTTGATTGTAAAAAAATTATTCTTTTAGGTTTTTGAGTTCGAGAACCATGAATATTGAGAGTATGAGTGTTCAATATCAAGTGGTTAAGAGTTAACTTTAAACATATACTACATTATATTTATCTCATATTAATAAAAAATCAAAGGACTTGAGAATAAATATATTTGACCGGTTGAACAAGCAACTAATGTTTTTTTCTTTTATATTCTCTTAAGTCGATGGTAAGAATAAATATTATTAGATTTGAATTTGACCTATATATATAAAATTATGTATGTTATCAATAAACAAATGTTTTTAAATATATATAAAGTTTTGAGAAATCATAAAAGCGTTGTTCTCTCAAAACTTTCTTATCTTCCTTTTTGTGTTAGTTCTCTTGTCTAGCTTTCGTCGAGATTCTAAGCATCTTTGCTTGGGATATTTTCATGCTTACTTAGCCGCAATCACTGAGAAGGCGACTAAGACCGCACGTTCTGTGGCGCCGAAGTTCTAAGGGCGTGACAAGACTCCTTCACTTTGAGAAATCATAAGAGCATTATTCTCTTAAAGTTTTTTTATCTTCCATTTTGTGCTAGTTCTCTTGTCTAGCTTCCGTCGAGATTCTAAGCATCCTTGTTTGGGATATTTTCAGGCTTACTTAGCCGCAATTACTGAGAATGCGACTAAAGCCGCACGTTCCGAGACGTCGAAGTTCTAAGGGCGTGACAATAAGATGAGTTGGATCCGATCTCACTTTATAGAGAATAAACGCCTTTCATCTTTTTAATTGCGTTAACTAATCTTTTATAAAGACTTTTTTTATTTATTTTCAGATGCTTGAAGGAGAAATAGACGCGTCCCAAAACAAGAAATCAAAGGGATTGTGACGACAAAACAACTACCATTGAAAAAATAATAACACAATAATGATAATTTTATTCAAAACACAAGTAAATGGGCGTCCCAATTTATACAAAAGAATGAAGGG